CACATTGAGTGGCTGCCTCCCGCATGACACAACCAGGGCCGGGGACAAAACGCAGCCGAGTCATGCGCCCCTAGTGGGAACTGAACCCGGGTCCTCTGGACTGCAGGCCAACGCTCTAACCGCTGAGCAAAACTGGCCAGGGCTGATTACTTTTTTAAAAATCCTCACCCCAGGATATTCTTCCACTGAGTTTTTCAAATAGAGTGGGAGGGAGGGAGGAGGAGAGAGAGAGAAAGAAACATCGATGTGTCTCTTGAGAGAGATACACTGATTGGTTGCCTCCTGAACAACCCTAATCAGAACCTGGGGTTTGAACCTGAAACTGAGGTACGTGCCCCGGACCAGGAATTGAACCCACAACCCTTCAGTCCTCAGGCCAATGTTCTAAGTGCTGAACCAAACTGGCCAGCCAAACCAGTCAGCGCTATGATCACTTTCTTTAGGAGACACTTTCTTGGATAGAATCCATGCCTCAACCAGCCAAACCTATAAACTTGACCATAGTCATGTGGTGACTTTAACCAATTAGCCAAGTGGCCATAGGCTAAACAAGAATATTGTCCTTACAAGTAAAAACACTGACAAAAATTTTATTTTTTTATCATATTCAAAGTGGCCTCAAATTTCTAATTTTCTTACAAAAAAAGATTTAAAAAAATCTTCGGTCCTGGCCAGTTTGGCTCAGCGGTTAGAGCGTCAGCCTGTGGACCAGAGAGTCCCAGGTTTGGTTCCCACTAAGGGCATGTAACTTGGTTGTGGTTCATCCCCAGCCCCGGTTGGGGTCGTGTGGGTGGCAACCAGTCAATGTGTTCCTCTCACATTGATGTTTCTCTCTCTCTTCCTCCCTCTCTCCCTCCTGCTCTGTCTGAAGATAAATGCAAAAAAAAAAAAAAAAAAAAAATGTCCTCAGGTGAGGATAAAAAAAGAAAAAATCTTCGAACGTTAAAAAAATTTTTTTTTTCTTTATTGATATTAGAGAGAGAGGAAGGGAGAGGGAGAAAGAGATAGAAACATTGATGAGAAAGAACATCGATTGGCTGCCTCCTGCATGCCCCCCACTGGGGATTGGGCCCACAACCTAGGCGTGTGCCCTGACTGGGAATCGAACCCATAACCTTTTTTGGTCCGGGGGTGAGGCTCCAAAAAACTGAGCCACCTGGCCAGGGCAAAATCTTTGAACTTTTAACATCATTTGAATTTGTGGGTCCTGCTTCTCAAACATACACATCTCAGATGGAGAAAAATATCAATCTCCGGTCACAGGTTGGTTTTTTCTAAACACAGGCTCTGAGCCAGAAGAAAGCCAGAGTGTGTGGAGGGCAGACCCCACACCCCCCCGTCAGCACCCGGGAGCTCTCAAGCTGGAGCTGGAGCTGGAGTTGTTCCCAGCTGGCCTAGGACAGTTGGGCCTTGGACTCCTGCACAGACCAGTCACTGGATTGGGCCACACAGGAGGGCATGACCTTGGGCCAGGTCATGCTCTGAAGGGGCTGGAGCTCAAGGCTGTCCCTAATAGTGCTCACAGCAGCTGGGGGAACAAGTCCTTCACTGAAGGGGGCAATCCCCCCTGGAATGAGGCCACGTGTCCCTTCTGCCTTCTGCCAGGACTTGTCAGTGCCCTTCCCAGAGCCAAGCCCCTGCTGGGCTCAGCTGTTCGATACTGTGCCTGCCCCGCTGGCTCATGGCCCAGCCTAAATGTTTCTTTAATCAGATCCTCTGCTTACTGGCCAACCTTCAGTGGCAGAGCACACACCCAGAAAGATGGTTGTCTCCCCTGGAGAAATACGATGGTCGTCAGGTGGGAACCCTATCGCATCAAGGAGAGGCGCTGAGGAGGTGACAGCTTTTTTAAAAATATTTTTTCTTTATTGATTTTAGAGAGAGAGAGGAAAGGAGAGAAAGAGAGATAGAAACATCGATGAGAGAGAACATCGATTGGCCGCCTCCTGCAGGCCCCACCCTGGGGATCGGGCCCACAACCTGGGCATGTGTCCTGACTGGAAATCGAACTGGAGACCTCTTGGTGCATGGGTCGACGCTCAACCACTGAGCCACTCCGGCCGGGCAGAGGCGACAGCTTTGTTGGGGTGAATTTGTAACTTTGTCATGCCTCAGTTCTCAACACCAAGGAGTACTCTCCACACAGCCACCCTGTTATTCTGACTGCTCCTTGTTCCCCCTTAAATACCACCTTCTGTGCCTACTCACCGCCTCTCCCCAGGAGTGCTCCTGTTGCTCAATATTCATGCATCCATCAAGGTGGTCCATGTGCCCAGGACGGGCTGGTCACTCCTGCTTGCTGACTGCTCCTGTGTCTTATAACTGCTGCTTCTTGCCTGGGGATGGGGCCTTTCCCCAAGCTCCTTCCTGTCTCCCTGCCTTTCTTTCCACCTTTTCCAGAACTGGGGTGCGCCCGATTCTCTCCATGCTGGACTCCTCAGCTCTGAGTGCAGCCCTGACCCTCTCCCCAGGTGCACTGGCACCTGCGTGCCTGGGGTCCCATCTGCAGAGGAGATGTGTTGCCAGGCAGATGTGCCAACACCACTGTTTATCCCGCTGCAGAGGAAGGCTGAGAGCAGCAGGAAAGCCGGTCCTTGGCACGTGGCTCCATAGAACCCTCTGCCACAATAATTCCAGTGCTCACTGGCACGTACATCGCACTCAACTGCGTGCCAGGCTCTGCTCTAAGCGCCTGACTCATTCATTCATTTAATCCTCACAACAGCCCATTGCGGTAGATGCTAGCACTGTCACTTTACACATTCGGAAACTGAGGCACGGGGGATAAAAGTAACACAGCCAGTAGCAGGCAGCTGTGGCGGCCTGGACGCCAAGGCCTGCTTTTTACAACTCTGCCAGCTTTCCAACACTTCCTGTGAGGACCCCCAATTCCAGAGGTGGGCACGAGGTCCAGGCCAAGTAGCCAGGCAGCCCGCTCTCATGGCCTCAGTGATTGGCTTAGGAGAGAGCAGGGGAGCCAAGCCAGGCCGGCGGTGCCCTGCTCCAGGACTCTCCTGCAGAGCCAGTGGGAACGGGCCTCGCTCTGCCAGGAAGGCGGCGGAGCCACCTGAGAGTGGAGTCGGCTCAGATGGGGGGACAGAGCTGAAAAGACAGAACCCTGAGGACGAGCTGAGCCCTGGGCACAGCCACACCCACACTTGGCAATTGTGCTGTCAGCTAATCCCTTCACCTAATTGGGGTTGGTTTCTGTCCCTTCTCCTCTTGTGTTTACCTTTGAAGTTTCAGTATCTAGTAGTAGCTGGCACATCGGAGCACTTACCTGGTTCAAAAACTATTTGTTGGCAGCATTTGGGGTCTACCCCGGCAGCTTTCCTGCCCACCCTGTGCTCCGGCTCAGCCCCAGCTGAGCTGCTGGGCGGCCCTCCCAGCCCAGCACCCATCGGTCCGCCTCGGCTTTTGTTCTTGGCTGCTCTCAGGGGACCCATCTCTCCTCTCTTTTTGGGTCTGACTCAGTCGCTTCTCCAGGGACCCTGATCACTGGGCTCTGAACTGTCAATCTCCTGTCTCCGAATCTTTGCTCTCCCCGCCTGGAAACAGTTCATAGCTCCCCCACAGAAAAGGCAGCTGCTGGAGGGAAGGGTAGACACACCTGGTTCATCTTTGCATCCCCTGGGACCTGGCATCAGATTTCCTCACACGAGCCATCTGCGGGGTAGGGGTGGCAAATGTGTGCCTCTGGGGGCCAGGCAGGTGACATCAGTCACTGATGCCGGGCAGGTAGGTCTCTCTCAAAGTGGGCAGCTCTGCTGCCAGTTGCTCTGAAGAAGTAAGGCCCCGAGACTTTTAAGAGAAGCAGAAATCCATATGTTCATAGAAACCCTCTGGGTGTTCACGTGGCAGCAGTTAATTCACAATTTGAGACACGGTGTAGGGCACATACAGGTAGCAGCGGGCCGGCGTCAGCCACGGGCCCGTTTGGCGGTGCTGCGGGAGGCGCGGAGTGGACGGCCCCACAGCCAGGACTGCGGCACGAGGGTGTGCGCGGTGTGACCTGCGTGAGGCACGCGGCCGAGGGCAGGAGTGGGGTTGATGTCCAGTAGGACCGGCACTCACCAAGTCACGTGACCGGTGTGACACTATCCAGCCAGGGGGTGGGTGGATTTCCAAAGCAGGCAGCTGCCTTTCCAAGGTGGACAGAGTCCCAGACAGAGGAAAAACCATGTAGAGACCTGGATCTAGGGTGATCCACTTTTCCTGGTTTGCCTGGGGTTTTCCTGGATTTTTAAATCTAAAAATCCCAGGAGCCCTCTTAGTCCCAGGCAAACTGGGACAGGTGGTCACCCTGCCTGATCCCTGATCCCGCTCTGTTCCCGGCCTGCTGCAGGGTAATAACAGTGGCGGCTGAAAAGTGCCAGCTCATTAGGTGCCAAACACCATGTGCTCGGACCTGCATGGTTTCCCGTATGCCTCGTAACATCTTCATGGTGTGGCTTCATTATCCATTCTGTAGACGACAGTCGTCCGAGGGTGAAGCGACTGGCCCAGGGCCAGTAGTGGTGCTGGCGTTTGACCCACATCGGTCTGGCTCCAGGCCCTCAAGCCCTCTGAGAGAGCCCCAGCCAGGCGGCCGAGCCTCCTAGGCCAGGGCCTCCTGGGGAAGGGTCAGGTTTCACTCCCTCAGGAGCGCACTCCCCCGCTTGGAGGTCCAGCCAGGATCAATTTGTGCAGGTCTGAGACCTCTACGCCTGGTCCCCCATCCCCGCCCAGGCTCTTTCATTCCTGCCCTGTGGCCCCAGCCCCTGAATGGAGCACGCGAGAAGCCCTCAGAACACCCTGGCCCTCTCCTGTCCCTCCACCCCGTGCCCACTGCATGAATGAGGGATGAGGCTGGCGCTTAGAACATAAACGCTGCTGGGGATTTATTGCCCCTCTAGGGAGAGCCATCCAGGGCAGTCAGGGGCAAGGGAGCAGGGATGAGGGCTCCAGGGTCTCAGGAGGCGCTGAGTCAGTCCTTTGTGGGCTCACTGCACAGGGTCTAGTCATTGTTGGGGCCAGAGTGGGGTGAGGTGGCTGGTCATGTAACTCATGGCTGAGCGGATGCTCTCTACTGTCCTCTGTTCCATTCTCTCCAGCATGTGGGTGATGGAGCGAAAGACTGAGCTGGTCCCTGCTCCCAGCCCAGAGGAGAAGGCCGAGCTAGCGTTCTGCAGGATGCTGGAGGTGGAGAACAGGCTGGGCCCCGTGCTGTGCAGCAGATCTGTCACCGAGCTGTGTCCTGACTCCAGGAAGCCCGTGGCCATGGCCATGGTGGTCTCAGACCAGACCAGGATGTGTGCCAGGGAGCTGATGGACCCTTCGCCCCCTCCCAGCAAGCCGGTCATGGAGCGCATGTAGGTGTCCTCCTCGCTGGCCATGTGCAGGCTGGAGTCCAGGGGCCTCCTCCCCAGGGCCACTGTGGGTGCGCTATGCGAGGCGGGGACACTGCTTCCTGGGGAGGGAGGGACCGGCCCAGCCTGCAGGTCTTCTGAGTCTAGCAAATCTCCTTCAGTCCCTGCCTGGGACTCAGCTGATGGCAAAGCTTCGGTGTCAGGGTTCAAGGTCTCCGGATCCTCAGATTTCTCAACAGCTTCAATGGTGCTGGTGGCCCAAGTGTCAGGCTGGCTGTCAGCGTCTGCAGTGTTCACAGTGGGCACATTTTGGAGGGACCGCACCTCAGCACTTGGGGTAGGTGGCTCTAAGTCTTGCTTTCCGTCTGGGACACTCATTGTTTGTGGTGTCCCTCCCTTAACCAGGGAGTCACTTTGGGAAATGCGAAGACTCGGACTTGTCCTTGATTCTTGTGCCAGTCCATCCCGCACTAGGTTCTGGAGGCTCATGGATGTTTGCAGGGCGTCTGGGGCCGGGTGGGCCGGCTGGCCCTTGGGCTCCTCGGGCTCCTGCCTGTGCCCTGCAGCAGCTTCGTCTTCATTTCTGTCTCTGTCCCCAGACACTGAAGTGGCCTTGGAGGCGGCTGGCTTGCTGCTGCTCAGCTGAGCCGGAGTGCCGCGAGCCGCTGGGACATCTGCAGGGAGGGGGCCCTGACCTTGGGACCCCACTGCTGGGCCATCTGAACACCTGCTATCACCATGCGTGGGGATGCTGGCCTCTCCCAAGGGAACGATGGTCATGTAGGCCCTGTTACTAGTGCTGCTTGAGGGAGTAGCGATGGCCTTTGGGCTGAGTTGTCCAGGCGATGAGGTCATAGGGGGCTGTGGGCATCTGGTGATGTCACAGGCACTTGCAGAGCAAGAGTAGTGAACCTCTGGCTGGAGTGGCTGCTTTTAGTGGGCTCAGTCCCAGGGCTCTGTAGCCGAGCCTGCCGGTGCATGGGGAGAGAAAGGCAGATATGTTAGAAGAGGGTGGGGTGTGTATGCAGGTGCAGGTGCGACACGGAAGCCTGGTGGCTGTGACTCCAATGAGAGAGAATGGGATGCAGTTGTTAATTTAGAATGAATGTGATAAGGGACCACGCCCAGCTCCCCCTTGTCCACACCGGTGATCCAGACCCTGATCTGGCCCGTCTTTCTGCAGTCGGTTTCCCAGCAGTGATGACTAGAATAAGGGAAGGGCTAAGGGCCTGGGAGCTCCTAGACTTGACCGTCTTGGGTTATGGGTTGCTATAGATGAATAATTTTATACCACTCCCCCAAATTATATGTTGAAAATTATCCCCATTGTTTGTTTGTTTCTTTTCAATCCTCACCCGAGGTCATTTTTCTATTTATCTTTAAAGAGAGAGAGCACGAGAGCGAGAGAGAGACCACTGACGTGAAAGGGATGCTTCATCAACTGGTTGCCTCCCACACGACCCCAACCAGGGCCAGGGATGAACCGCAACCGAGGTACGTGCCCTTGACCAGAATCAAACCCGAGACTCGTTGGTCTGTGGGCCGACGAGCCAAACGGGCCAGGGCAGGAAGCTAGCTCCATTGTAATAGTATTTGGAGGTGGGGCCTTTGGGAGGTGATTAGGTCATGAGGGTGGAGCTCCCACGAATGGCATTAGTGCCCTCATCAGAGAGACCACACAGAGCTCTCTGGCCCCCTCCTCCATGTGAGGTTACAGAGAGAAGGTGGCTGTCCATGAACTAGTCACCAAACTGAAGCCCGAATAGAGTAAGACAGGGATTAACCCCTGTGATCCAGGATAAAGAATCTCCATCTTCTCCCTGCTCGGCTGGGCTGGGAGGGCAGGGAAGACCAAGCTCCGCACACCATGAGGAAGCAGAGTCCTGGGGAGTGTTCGCGTGATGAGGAGGAGGAGTCTTCTGTTTTCCACCGGCTGCCAGCCGTTGGGGCTCATGGATGATTTGCCCTTTCAAGGACCTTTCTACAAAGTAAGCCCAAGATTCCTTCGGAGGGGAAATCTGTCTGTGGTGACTCCCAGGTCACTTCCAAGGCCTCACCAGAAATCCATCCTCTGCCCCGTAAGTAATGTTCCTGTAGTTGCCACAGTGAGTGAGCATCAGCTTTGCCCACGCCAGGGAGAGCGCGCCAGGGCAATGGTCCTTTGCCAGACTCCCTGGGGAATCTGGTGCCTTTTGCCTTTGAGGTGTTAGCCCTGGACCCTCTGCTGCACTAGTGTGTGGGCGATGGGAACCATTGACTTGGAGCACCCATAGCAAGGAGGGTGCGTATCGAGATAGGGCATCTGCCCCTAGTCCAGCTCTGGTGGTGGTCACAATGGTCCAAGACACTTCCCTGAGTGGTGAATGGATCATGCCCAGGCCTGAGGGGAGGTCTGCTAAGGCCTTTGGGAGGTTTCCTTTCTCATTAGGAGACCCCAAAAGACGTGGTCCTCTCTGCTGTACACAGTCACGTCTCACTGGGCCTCTTGTGACCACGGGGGCACCTGGCCTGAGAAAAAACCCCACATAGAGGATGGTGGAGCCAGGGGATCGCAGAAAAGTAGGGCAAAGCCTTGATCAAAGTGCACCTGCAGCAGCCCCCAGCCACCAGACTTCCTGTGAAGGGAGATTTGTCTTCAAATTGTTTCAGTAGGTTGAGGCAGGGCTTTTTGTTACTAGCAGCCACCGGCCGCTAGCCTAGAAGTCGTGCAGAGAGCCCGAGCTGCAGAGGCCCGTCCTCCCTCCCCCGAACACCCTGGCTCCTCTGGCCACTAGGGCCATTGCTCTCATGTCACCTCCTTCCTGCCTTGGCTTCAGACCTCCCCATCCCAGGACCTCTGTCCACACTGGTCCAGAAATCACCCCACGGAGTCCCTCCTCACACCCTCCCTCGGCGTCCTCCCCGGCCCTGGCACTCAGCCAAAGCAGCCACAGCTCCACGAACTGAGCACTTCAGGTCATCATCCGAAGCAGCAGCTGTCATTTCTTCCCCAGAGTCTACACTCGTGAACAGAGCTATAACCCAATCTAGCCAAGTAGAGTCTGTAAGTGGGCTGAATTGTACCCCGCCCCCCAAAGGTATGTCCATATCCCAACCCCTGGACCCCGTGAATGTGTCCAGTCTTGGCAGACATACTAAATTAAGGGTCTTGTTACCCTGGCCAGTTTTCTCAGTGGTTAGAGAGTCAGCCTGAGTACTAGAGAGACCTGGGTTCGGTTCCCACTAAGGGCACGTACCTTGGTTGCAGTTTGTCCCTGGCCCTGGTTGGGGTCATGTGGGTGGCAGCCAGTCGATGTGTCTCTCTCACTTTGATGTTTCTCTCTCTCTCTTCCCCCCTCTCTTCCTCTTGCTCTGTCTGAAGATAAATAAATGCATGTCCTCAGGTGAGGATAAAAATAAATAAATTTAAAAAATTAAGGGTCTTGCAAACATCTGAAATTAGGGTGGGTCCTAACTTTAATGACTAGTGTTTTTATAAGAGAGGAGAAGTGTTTTAACTGTTTTTTAAGATTCTGTTTGTCTATTTGGCATCCATTAATCACAGGGCCAAACAGCCAAAGATTTCTCTCTCTCCTACAGATCAGCTGCCTGAACTCTCCTTTGCTGTGCAGACTAGCTGATCCAGGGGTGAGCCCCCATCCACCTTCTTCTTTTTTTTTTAAATTAATTTTAGGGAGCAAGAGGAAGAAGAGAGAGAGAGAGAGAAACATCGATTTGTTGTTATTTATGCGTTCATTAGTTGCTTCTTTTTTTAATTAATATTTTTTTCTTTTATTGATTTTTAGAGAAAGAAGGGAGAGGGAGAGAGAGATAGAAACATCAATGAGAGAGTACATCAATTAGCCACCTCCTGCATGCCCCCCACAACCTGGGCATGTGCCCTGATCAGGAATCGAACCTGCGACCTCTTGGTGCACGGGTCGACGCTTCACCACTGAGCCACACCAGCCGGGCCATTGGTTGCTTCTTGTACGTGCCCTGACCAGGGATGGAACCCGCAACCTAGGCATATCAGGATGATGCTCTAACCAACTGAGCTAGCTGGCCAGGGCCCACCTTCCTATCTAATTCTCACCAAGCCAGTATGGCCCCTGCCCTAAGTCATCCCGGGGCCAGGTACCAGGCAACTAGACACCACTGCCTTAGCGCATGGTCCATCAAAGTTATTCAAACTAGTGGATCCTAAACCGTCTACTCTGCTGCCTTGCCTTTCCTGTGGAAATTCTCCTTGCTCCTGTCTTCTGCCTCCTGGCAACTCCGACGTTTCTCGTGGCCCGTGTGTGGTGCATGCTCCTTCTCTTCGGAAATCGAGGCAATAAAATTCTCCCCGTGGCATTGACCTGTCCATGTTCATCACTCACTCATCCCCATAAAGTAAAACCCCATGGGTACAGATGAAACAGTGAGGGAGAAGGAGAAGGAAGAAGATGCAGACAGACATGGACGACGCACGTGGAGATGGAGGCAGAGACTGGACTGATGTAAGTCAAGGAATGCCTGGAGCCACCAGAAGTGAAGATGTAAGGGAGGACCCCCCCCTTCCCCCAAGAGCCATCAGGGGAAACGTGGTCCTCCTGACATCTTGATTTTGGACTCTGGGAAGCTGACAGAGCATCTAACAGTGATGACTAGTTACTGAGTGTTCACTCCTGACACATGCTCAGGCGCTGTGCTGCTCAGTTCTGCACAGAGCCTTGTGGTAAGTACTGTCATTATCCCCATCACAGATGAGGAAACTGCAGCTCGTCCAAGGGCAGAGGAGCTGGGATGAGAGCCAGGCCCATAACCCCTGTCTCTCAGCCACTGCCCAACTGCGAACTGAGGTTGTGGAGCCAGTGTCCCCCCACATTAGGGGTACACCAACCTTCCTCCTTCCTGAGTCCCTGATGCTGCCACCTGCTTTCTACAGCTGCTGTGATGGGCACTGTTGACCATGGTCACTGCTGTAGATGCTGCCACCTCCTGGTGGCCATTGGGATGTGGCCACTCCCTGGCCTCCTCCGGCCGCTCTTGGGCGTGTGGGCGTGGAGCCTTCTGGAGCTCTGCAGCCCCGTCCGTCCGCCGTGAGAAGGGCGGCACCCGTGGGCCCTGCCTACCGGTGAGACCACCTTGGGGAGGCCTGCAGGCCTGAGGCTTTGGCCTCCTCAGGATGCTCCATCCCAGCTCTCAGCTCCCCGGGCACCTCCCTGCATGTCAGCCGTCTAAGAGGGTCTCCAGGCTCCCCATCCACCCAGAACTCCGCTTCCTGCGTGTTCAAGACACGTACGGAGATAGAGCAACCTGGGGACCATTAGCAGATGGTATAAAATTCCACCTAGGACATCCACTGGCTTTGTTTGGAAGAAACAGGTTAATCAGCCCCAGGGGCTAGAGGCTGAGACCCCAAAGGCATTCTCAAGTGACAAAGGACTTTGCTACCCAGATTTCCAAGGAGGTGGATGCCATTAGCCCGAGGGCCTTGGTTTGGAAAGAGCCGGGTTTGGGCCAGGAGCCTACAGCCCAGTTGTTCTGCAGGAGAGGGGGCGAGGGTTTGGAGGTTCCTGGGAAGTGAAGGCCGAGTTAGAGGTGAGCAGCAAGGTGGCTATGCTGAGAGGGAGGGTCAGGCCTCCCGGGATGGGGGGGGGGGGGCAACAGGCAAGGCTCCAGGAGAACAAAAATATCTAGAGGGAATTTTTAAGTTGTTTGTGCTGAGGTCTCCAGGGTACACCCCTCACCTCCACAACATCAGAAACCACCCCTTGTTTGCTAGTGCTTCTCTGTGAGCGCTGGCAGCCAGGGGACTGCAAGGATGTGTGTATGTTTCTCCTAGACAAAGGCGACTGCCTTTGGGGACACAGACAGTGACAGTGGAGGGCTGAGTTACAAAGTGGT